CTGCACGCACTGGTTTTAAACCTCAGCATCACTCAAAAACAGCCGGAGACCAATCACACACCTGAACAGGTCATCTCTTTGACCTTATGCTGTGGTGTTGTTTCCTGCTGACAACATTTAACTTTGTCATTTTTGTCAATAACAAATTAATAAATAATAAATTTAAAAGGATAAATTCCCTGCTGACATATTTACAGATCAATGACATCACTGATCTCATGTTTCAGACACAGGAAGCTTTAACCTCACCTGTACACAGCCGGGTAGGGCGAGGCATACATGTACCTGTCCTCCAGAGCCCCGCCCCCCCAGCACAGGATGTATCTCGCCATTACGACACGGCCCCGCCCACTCTCACACAGAGCCTGTGAGAGAGCAGCCGTCGATCAAACAACATCCACATCGACGCCTCCGAACCACGCCGAGCTGTTGTCGAGGGAAACGGAGCGACGTCACCCACACGTTAATCTGATGACATCATTAAGCTATGACATCATCTGCTCCCAGTTCTCCCCTTCATTCGGCGCCTCGGTAAGGAAATCCTCCAGCAGCAGCGCCTCCTCTCTGATCCGTCTGCTTCCAGTCCTCCTCTTCTTTCTTCCACACTTTTGAAACCTCGGCGCGGCTCCTCTTCACAACTTTCCCTCTTTCTCCTCTCCGCTGGCCCGTCTCCTCGTCCTGCCCCTCTCGTCCATCAGCTGGCTTATTTTCCAGCACTGAGGGGAAGGAGGTATGCGCTTCCTCCCCCGTTTGACCCAGGACGCCCCTCCTCCTCCTCGGCTCCTCGCCCTCCCCCCTCTGTCCTCTCCTTCCCCTCTTCCTCTCTTTGTCTCGTCTCACCATCCTGGAAGTTTTCAGCGGCTCGATAAACTTCAGCCTCATCGAGGCGCCGCATGAACGTGACTGAAAGCTTAGGGAGAAACTTGGAACATGAGGATTTCAGCTGAGCGCGAGCAGCAACTTGTCTTTAATGTTCACATGAATAAGATAAATTCAGAATTTACTCATTAAACTGAACTCAGTACAGCATTTATATACACACACATACAGGGGTACAGTGTGTGTGTCACTCATGCAGAGCTCGGCGGGGCGGGGCCTGAAGCTACACCTCATCCAAACGCTGCTCACACATCTTCAATATGAGCCACGACCCTGTAACCATCACTCGTCTGCACCACGTCAGCCTCGCTTCAACTAAAGGGCGTTTTATTCACAACGTCGCAGAAACACGACTACACTGCACACAAACCGAAACAGCGACGGCTCTGATTGGTGGAAGTGTTTAAACAGCAGGTCACACTGTGAGGCTACATCTGTGCACAGCCTGCTGCTGCGCTCGACCCACATCACATCTTTAAACCTTCCATCTGAAAGTTGATCGTAGAGTCGTTGAAAAGAGCGTGCAGCCGCCGCTCTGCACCACGGTTATCAGAATCCATCTGAAGACACACAACTCAGAGTATTTACAGCCGCACACGAATGTGTTTCAGCTCACAGTAACAGCTCCACAGCAGAAGCATCACCACGAACCGAGGGGAAGCAGGTCAGAGGTCAAAGGTCGGAACACACAAACAACAGATGGAAAACATCCACATGAATGACAGCGAGGAGGAGGAGGAGGAGGAGGAGGAGGCTTTACTGAAAACATTTCAGACTGTTTCTAGTGTTCAGACAGGAGTGGGAGGTCTTTACTTCCACCCTTCCTGAACCCATCTGGAATTTCCATCTATAGGCTGATAAAACTGTGCGTGTGTGTGCGTGTGTGTGTGTGCGTGTGTGTGTGTGTGTGTTTTTACACCTATCCCTGTGAGGACAGACCTCCCACATGAGGCTGTTTGAAGCTGCAGATTAGGATTAGTTTTATGGCGGGGGGCAAGGGGGCGGGGCTGTAGGGCTGGAATGCATCATGTCCTCTTAGGATACGACACACAGAGGTCCTTCGCGCATGTGAGCGTGAAGGCGCCTGGACTCGGTGAGCGGGGACAAGGATACGAAGCTTCGGCCGTGATCCTGTTTTCATGTCCAAGTCTGAATTCCTCGCTCGCTGCAGCGCGATGTGAGTTTCTGCTGAGAACAATAAAGTTTTTGACTGCGTCTGAATTCGTCCACACCCAGCAGAAGCCGTGGCGCGAGGCCAAGAAGGAAAACGGCGAGCTCCTCCAGCTCGTGCTGGGAAAGCTCCCAGCAGCAGGCCGGCCGTTTCCATTTCACTCCTCAGATGTTTGAACGTGTTCGTGTGCAGAGCGACGTTTCAACAACACGAAAGCAAGAAAACGTGCGAATTCTTCCACTGAAGCCAACAACGGGCGGGAGCGAGCTTCCCGATTTTATCCCGCCCCAGCATTTAAATCCAGATTCTGCTCATTTCCACCTGAATGCTGTTATCCTGCACTCCGCTGGAGCCCGAGCAGGAATACAAACGCTCCAGGTCGTAATCCTTCAGGAGCCGAGCTGCACGTGGGCAGATTAGCTCAACTAATCTGGAGAAAAATAGAACTAACGGTTCAATTTAACAGCCGTGCTGCAGCCAACACAAACAGCAACTGCAAATGAAGCTTAGTCAAAATAAACTGAGCAGGAAATGAAATGTTTTATCATTTGTTAAAAAGTAAAATGAGTGGTTCAAGCAGCCCAAAGCAGGTGAGCGTGTGAAACTGTGAAGATCTGCAGGAAATCTGCAAAATTAGAGTGAGCTGCAACGATGCGGGTACGGACACGGCAACAGTCAAATGTTGTATTTTGGTAAGTTGTAATTAAAGCAAACATGACGGTAACATGTGATGTTTAAGGTCAGGAGGAAGCAGATGATTGGCTGCAGAGAGAGGAAGTACGTGAGGGTGGTGCAGGACACGAGGACCGAGGTGTGGAGCAGGAATGACAGGTGGGGGTGGGATTACATCAGGGATCTGCTCTGAGCTCCTTCCTGTCTGCAGCGCTGACGAACAGACTGACAGGTGACGTCAGGCAGGAGTCTGCAGACAACACTGCGATCTGCAGCGAGAGCGGGCGGAGGAGAGCCTGGAGAGGTGGAGGCGTGCTCTGGAGAGAAGATAAAGGAAAGTAGGTGGAAGCGAGACAAAGAGAGAATGAGAAGGTTTAAAGATGAAGGTGTTCAGATGTTCAGAGCCACAGAGGCTGAGACGGTCTGAGCATGTGCAGAGGGAGGAGGGAGGAGAAGATGGAGCAGTGAAGGAGGACACACAGAGGGGCGGTGTAACAGAGCAGCATGCTGGGACAGGAGGAGGTGGAGGCAGGTGATGCTGGTCTAATCAAATCTGTTTGTTTTTGTTTTATTAATCATCCTGATAAACAAATGAAACATCAGCTGTCAGGATGAGTTTAATGCATCAAGTGCTAAACTGGTTTAGAGGGATGCACTGCTGCAACACAATGGATGCAGCGGGACACGCTTCAGCTGACCACACTCCATCAGCTGATGGGACCCGCGTCATGTGACCGCCGTGGTTTGGTTTAAAGGAAAGTAACCGTATAAAGCTGGAAGTGGAGCACGAGAGGATGTGCAACCAAAACCACTCGGCGAGCATCAAATACGCCATCTTTGTTCTCCACGCAGAGCACAGAGCAAAGGAGAGCGCCGTGGAAACGTGTCGCTCATCGTCCTGTGGGAGCCGCCTGCAGTCAGCCTGCGACTCAGTCGGGTCGAGCTGTGCGTGTTGCATGCTGCATGGACAGAAGTTCAACCATCACCCCTGCAGGCAGCAGCAACCGGAGGAAAAGCAGCTGCAGCGCTGAGTCGAGCCGCTGCTGTCAGGTGACCTGAGCAATCACGCCACACGTTATCCTTTAATAATATCACAAAATAGCCACCGACTTCCTGTTTCTTTGTTGCTATCGAGCTGTGAGCTCGCTCTGCAGCGAGCTTTATCGAGAGGATGATTTTTCAGCTGATTTAGCATGATCTCAGGACGGTGGTGCGTGAGACGTTTGGGGATTTTGTTTATTTAATGAAACATTTGATGTCCCTCATGTTTGGTGATATTTACTGTCTCTGTCTCGATGCAGTAGCGCCACACAAAAACACTACACGCAGCTCTGCACACAGTAGTCTACGCGTCGTAGCGCTTTACTGTCAGCAGGGGGCAGCGTCTCAAACAGACAGGTGGCAGGACGGAGAACAAGTATTTCTTATTTTGTGACCTCGTACGTCTGACTGTGAAAATTCATATAAAACAAACTGAAACTTAAGAAATTTAATGCAAAAAGCCTGAAAAGTGTTTCCAGCTGCTCAGATGGCTGTTACACGACTTTAAAATGACGGTTTCACGATGTTTGTACGAAGCTGGGCCGAGGTTCAACACAGAAACACGAGCCGCCAATAACACAAATCGACTATTTCTCAACAACCACGACTCGGCCATCAAACTTAAATTCATAGTTTAGTTCAGCTCACCTCGTGCCTCATTAAGTGAAGTGCGTGAGGTGAACGAGGCTGAAAGCTGCTGCTGGTTTTTTAGGCTTTTAATCTGAGGATTAACTGGAGGAAAATAAAACGAGGTTATAAAACGAGGTTAAAAACAGCTGCAGAGCCAGAGGGTTAAAAAAAGAAACGGAAAAATGTCCCGACTCAGCAAAGCGCCAAACAGCCGAGCAAATGTCTGCACTCTCCATCTGTATGACACACACACACACACACACACACACACACACACACACACACACACACACCTGATCTGAGTCCCTGCAGCAGTTTTCAGCTCTCATCACTTTAATCTGCAGATCACGTTTGCACAGCATCCAGAAAGTGGCAATACCAACACTCACACGCACGCACGCACACACACACGCACACACACACACTCCACACACACAAACACACACTCTACACACACACACACACACACACACACACACACACACACACACACACACACACACACACACACACACACACACACACACACACACACACACGTTGACACTAACCAGGAGCTCGTCTCCTCGTCTGGTCGGCCGCAGAACGAGCGAGCGCTCCGACTCACCTGATGCTGCTGTGGAGCGCTGGTGTCGAGCTCGCCTTCCTGAAGCCGTCTTTGAGGATGGAGCGACGCCACGACTCTCTCTCCGACTTGGACCTGACCGGAGGGCCGCCGTCGTCCTTGGAGCCTCCTCGGAGCCCCGCCCCCGAGGCGCAGAGTGCAAGTTCGGAGCGAGACGTTTCAGAGGCGGCGGACGGGTCCGGACGGGCCAGCGGGGCGAAGCTGAGCTCGATAATCTGCTTGGCGCTCTCGCAGATCTGACTCTGAACACACAGACGAGACAGCGTTATGTCCTGCTGCGCACAGGAAGCCGCGACCCGCCTCCTTTCTGCGTCCTACCTGGATCTCCGGCGTGAGGGTGGGGAGGTCGAAGGTGAATACGGACGTGGATCCCGAGGTCAGCAGGTCCACGCTGTCCAGGCTGCTGTACGACGTGCCCTTGGCCCGGTGGGACTCCATGATGCTCTCGAAGTGGCGGCTGAAGGAGTCCAGGTTGCTGTCGGAGGGTCGGCGGGGGCTGCCGATGGAGATCGGAGACTTGAGGCCCCCGTGGCTGTCGGAGGACTCGGGCGACCTGAGGAAGAAGAGTTAAACCGTGTTAAAGCCTGACTGCGTGTTTAATCCTGGCTTTCAGACGCTCACGCAGAGTCTCCTCATCAGACCAAACTGGGATCAAAGAAAAGTTTAAAAAGCCGAGCGGGAGGAATCTGAGGAGGAAAAGCCTGCACACGGTCTCTCAGTTTACACGCATGTGCATTAAAGAGGATGAAAGAAGCAGGAGAGACGACTGCCTCCTACACAGGCAGCCCTTCTTCCTCAGCTGCAGCTCTGAATATAAAGCAGGGGGGTCAAATAGACGGCCTGCGGGCCAGAAACGGCCCACTGCGTGACATTTTAAAACGTGGCCTGTCATAGGCCAGAAAAGTAAGATACAGGAAGTCAGGACTTTACTGTTATGTTTAATCTGACAGGAGAAAAGCTTCTTCCAGGATTTACAGCTGAACACAACTTTTGTGGTTGTCAGATAATAAATCCTTCATTTCTGTGTAGCAGCGTCTCGTGTGATCACGCAGGCAGGGCGGAGCTTTGAACATGAGCAGAAACCCTGATGAAAGTCGTAGTTTAGAAAGTTTATAACGCAGCCAATAAACAGAAAACGTGCAAACAGACAGCAGACTGGAGTAAAAGCGATGCAGCGGCTGCAGAAGAGAGAAAAGCAGAGTTCAGTAAAGCTTCGAGGGTTTGTGGTGTAAATGAGCTCGATGCAAACAAGCCTGAAAACAACAATCTGAGCTTACATCGCCAAGTCTTTGAGTAATCAGTTACTCTAACAGCTCGACTATGAAACAAGCTGCTTCACTAAAGCTCACCCCCCGCCCTCCCCCGCAGCCCCTTTCCTCGCCCTCTCACCCCTTCAGCAGCAGGCTGAGCACCTCCTCCTCCTCCTTCATGGCTTTCTGTCTCTGTCGGTCTCCCTGCATCCTGACGCTGGCCCAGCTCACCACTCCTCCTTCTTCCTCATCTTCCTCGTCTTCCTCCTCCTCCCCATCAACCTCCTTCCTTCCACCTGGGCGAGATTTTGGGGAGGGGTCAGCGGGGTTAAAATTGGAGTTTCCGAGGACACTGCGGTTACTCCCGAAGGCCGAGTCCGCCTCCTCGGCTGCCTCCGCCCGCATTACCTACACCATACGAGAGATGATGATAACGTATTTTAAAAGGAACCAGGTGAGATGCAAACAGGTGGAGGCGCACGCACCTCGTCCAGGTCGGTCTCACGGTAGCAGCGCAGAGGCACGGCGTCCAGGTCCGTCTCCGAGTATTTGAGGGTTCGCCGGATGATGCCAGTCTTGGGGGAGGAGCCTCGAGGGTCGGCGGTCACCAGTTCCACGTCGATCTGCTGGACCTCGTGATGAGACAGCTTTTGTCCCTCGGTTTCCCGCCCCCTCCTCTGATTGGCTGGTTTCAGATGGAGGGAAGAGGGTGGGGTGGGACTGGGCGAACTGCTGGTCGGAGGCGTCGTGGACGGAGCGTCTACGGGAGGAAAAAGCAGATGTTCATAACGCCAAGTGTCAAAGAGCACAAAACAGGTCCTACGAAGTGTTGAAGCTAAACTCTGATTGGTCCCCAGTTTTCTGTTATTTTTATCCAATTCTAGTTTATTACCAAATCTTAGAGGCAACTTCAAGGTGTTCATATTGCAAAGTACTGACCTGCAATGACACAGAGAAACCCCAACAATCAACAACGCCATGTGAGCAAACACTTAGCGACAGCGGGAAGGAAAAACGGCGTTTTAACTGGATGTAACCTCAGAACGAGGTTCTGCATCCGGTCGTCCTTTGCTCAACTCAACCCGGTTACAGGATACAGACATGCTGTTTAACAGAGGCAGAGATCTGGTTGGAGATTGGCCTATAATTAGCTAAGACTGCTGGGTCTACAGATGCTTTTTGAGTAAAGGTGTAACTGCAGCCAGCTTGAAGGCCTGTGGTACATAGCCGATCATTAGAGATAGGTTGGTATTTAAGGCTGAAGCATTAATTAATGGCAGGACGTCTTTGAGCAGCTTTGTAGGAATGGGGTCTAAAAGACACGTTGATGGTTTGGAGGAAGTAATTATTGAAGTTAACTCCAGAGTAAATATCAGTAGTGTTAAAAGTAGCTGTTCCTAATGATGCGCCTGTTGGATGGCTGTAATGGTTAAAAAACCCAGGGTTGCTCCTGCGCTCCTCGATCGGTGGTGAAGGATAAGCTGTTTGAGTCCAGCAGATATCCTCGTGAAACTTTGATGGATCATGGTGTGAATAAAGTTTAACACAGAGGAACCAGCACTAAAACCCTGGATTTGGACCCGTTTCTGATATTTAACTACAGAAACGTACGAGTGCAAACAAATTAGATCAGTTTATACACAGAAGGACTCCAGAGAAGCTGAGTTCCATGTTGAGACTTGACTTTATCAATATCAAACTGTCTACAACGACCTGTTGGACAAACAGGACAGAAGACCTCTGAGCTCAGAGTTACACCGACACGATCGGAGCTGCAGCTCAGAGCACGCCAGCGCAAACTTTAAGACTCGGTTCTGTGTCGTTTAGGGCTGACGCCCGGTTTTAAGTGAGAACGTACAGAACAGGAAGCGGTGATGTGTAGCAGCACCTGTGAGCACAGTTGTACTCTCTGTAAAACCCCTCTGAGCTTACGTTAAGCTGCAGCTTCGGCTAATTGGCTTAGAAGATGCTGGGAACTCCGGGAGCTCCGTGTTTACTCCACAGCAGCAGAGAAAAGACAGAACGGCCCTTTAACCTGCTGCAAACAGACTCCGGGTCATCAGCACACTGTTGCTGCTGCACCGCTACGAGCAGTCCCAGCATCGCTGCTGTCAGACGGTTGGAAGAACACAAAGCCTGTAAGGTCGTATTTACCTGCTGTGGTATCTACGAAGAGGTGGGTGTGGCTTCACTTAAGGGCTGCTGTTAAATTATATATGCTGTAACATTTACAGTGTGATGCCAGAAACACACACCTGCTGCACACGTCTGCGCTTCATAAACAGTCGTTAGTAAAGAGCCGCCATCAACACTGGTATTTACCTGCAGACGCCCCGCCTGCTTCAGAAAGCCCACCAAGGGTGACCTCCAACAACACTACTGTTTTAACCCGTCCAGGTGTCAGTGCTCATGCTCCCACCTGTTTAATATTCCAGTTTACACTCTGAGAAACTGAGACATGAAATTAGCTGACTGAGTGAATTATTGAAATCTAAGAATGCACTGGTGGAGCGTCGTGTGTCGTCCTACGACTGGACGCAGTAAAATAAATCTGACATTTACAGATGTTAGAGTTTATAATAATGTGTGTCTGCTGACATAAACACGCCCATACTGAGAAACAGAGTCTGGACCCAACATGGACGGAAGCGGCTTCTTTCTGATAGAGTTTATGCGGATTTGGTCCACGGTGTAGGACCTGAGGTCAAAGGTCATGTAGGAACTGCCTACCGCACCTTTACTGCAGCGGCTCTTCTGGCTTCCGAAAAGGAACTCCCACTTGGCCTGGGCGATCTTCTGCGACCTGGAGGACAGAGCTGTTGCTGATCCGACGTCTGACTGAAACGGACAGGAAGTAGCATGTTTACATGTGTTTATAAACACGGGAAGGAAGCAGCGGTGCGTTGGATACGTGCCGTTCGCTGACACATTAAAGAGAAGCAGAGTTTGAGCCGGTGCAGAAGCTTTTGTGCTTTAATTGCTGTGACAGTCTAAAGCAAAATCATCATTATGTAAACGTTAGGCCGGTCCTGTTTCAGCACAGCGGGAGGAAACGTGCGCGACAGAAACAAAGACAAGTCGCTGAATCAAAGTGAAAGCTGCAGTTTTACTTTGCTTTCATTATCGATTTATTGCAGTCGAGGTGAAGATGACGACTTACTGGAGCTCACTGACTCAACACACACTCTACTTGATGACCTCCTCTTACACAACCACACCCTCCGCCCCCTCCCATCCATCCGACCTGCATCCCGGAGCCACCGTCTGCCGTATCGTGGCTCGACTGGCTCGAGGTCTCCGGGGACAGACTGTCCCTCAGGCTCCCCGTCACTCCACTGGAGCTGTGAGAGGACGGCCCGGCACCGCCGCTGTGGTCCTGGACGTCCTCTGTCTGATCCTTGGTCACGCCCACACCCAGCCTCTGCTGCTCCTGCCCCGATGTCTTCACCCCTTTATCACCCCCATCCTTTTCACGACTCTCGTCTTTGTGTGAAACGTAAACTCTGGGAGGTGCCTGACGGTAGTTTTCTTTGAGTTCGCTCCTGTCCTCCATCCACTCCTGCTGCCTGGAGGTCCAGCTCACAGGCAAAGCTTCCACGGTCGGTCTGGAGACAGGTTTCCTGGTGATTTCAGGGCTGTCTCTGGGTGATCTCTCAGACAGGTGATCGTACGGTCTTCGCTCCACGCCTGGTGACCTGTGGTCTCCGGTGTACTGTGGCGGCTGGTAGCGGTGCAGGGAGGACATGTCCTTACTAGGTGATGCGCTCCGTTTCTGCCGTGGGTCCAGTTCAGGTGACTGAGAGGCAGCTGCACGGTACAATCTAGCAGGCATGGCTGGCGATGCTGGTGAGGAGAGGCCTTTCTGTGACGAGACTGGGGAGATTCGTCCTGGTTTAGTGTGAGGTACTTCCTTGTCAGTTTTCCGGCTGTGGTTCCAGGGATCCACCTGTAAAAGCTCAGGGGAGCTCCGTCCATAAAGGGCGGAGTACGGTTGTGATTCTTTCCGTGCAGTCTTGGGACTCTCGGGCCGAAAAGACTCAGGAGGAGTCGGAGTTCGTCTCTCTGCAAAAATGCTGGAAAGTCTGCTGGCCTCCAGAGCTAACTTAGAAGCCACATCGAGGTTTGAGGATGGGGAGGCACTCCTCCTGCCGCTGACATCGCTGGCTGCGTCACTCGCTCTGCTGCAGCGTGACAACCTGTAGGGACTCCTGCTGGTTAAATTCAGTTTATTGCTTAAGCTGCTGTCTATCCCGTCTGTGGCTTTTTGGCTGGTGTTGGTAGTGTTAGCATTACGGGCACTGTGATGAGAGGTCCCAGGTGTGCAGGCAGGTAATACGTTAGTTTGAACCTCATGCTGGATGTCTGTGGGCCTCCCTGCAGGTAACGGTGGGTGAAATTTACTCGAGTGTCTGGGGCTCTCGTCTCCCATCCACGGCCTGGGTTTGCTCGGAGTCGGGCCATTGGAGTGCAGTTTAGCAGCTGGATCTGCAGAGTAAGACCAGCAGCTAGTGTGGGCACACAGATGGTTGGAGGCAGGACTTCTGGGTAACCCGTTCACTGGACTACGGGAGAGGGTCCTGTCCAGTTCCATGAGCTGGGTCTTGCACGGCAGGGTGAGGGTGCTGCGGGGCAGGTCAGGTGAGCCCCCCCAGGACTGGCAGCGAGAAGGCTGATAATGCCGAGGCAGGGAGGGGCTGCTGTTCTCAAATTGGTGACCTCCAAATCTGCGCTTAAGCTCTGGAGATCCAAACTCCTCAAGGGCCCTGTAGGTGGCACCTCTGGCCGCTGAGTCCAGGTTAGCTCTCTGCAGGTAAGGTGAGCCCCGTGGGGCTGGACTCTGAGCCGGGCAGGTGTGGCTCTGTGACAGGTAACCGTTGTACGACATTGGATCGCTGAGCCTCTTCCGAAGGTGAGCGGGCAGCACCTTCCTGCTTCCCATTTCCTTGAAAGGACTGTCCGGCTCATTATGAGACAGAGAATTTCGGCGGGCGGCCGTGTTGTGAACGTTTGCTTTCTCTATGTAGCTAAACGACACCACGGATTTCCTCCCCTCATTGCCCTCCACCCCTGGGACCTCGCAGTACCTGCGACCGCTGACTGGTGTGGAGGGCACAGTCAGCCTCCCAGAGGATGTTGATGATGGTGAGATAAACACCCTCCTCTGGTGGGGATTCATGTCTGAGGAACCGATGTGTCCAAGTGAGCCGTGGTGGCGTGGAACGGTCATTCCCGGTGTAAGGACTTCAAGTAACTGCCCAAACCTGTCATGCAGTGCATCTTCTTGAAGCTGGGCGTTCGACCGGAAGTTGACCGACTGCCTGGAGGAGGTCTTTGAGAGAGGCAAGCTGTGGTTCTCGCCCCCCATGTGGTGCTGTATCGGAGAGAGATCCGGACTGGGGTTCCGGCTGGAGTAGGCAGAGCTCCTCTGAGAGTGAGGGAGAACATCTGGACATTGAAGCATCAGATGACTGGAACCATCATCTCCTCGGCCCGGCACCTTACCTTCCTCCTCAGCAACAGACCTCACCTCAACGTACAGGTGGAGGACCTTACCGGCCTGGGACATATCTGCCCTTCCTTTAAAATGCTCCAGAGTTCCCTGCTGTGGACCTGTGCTACTAGTCCAAAAGGTCCTTAGACTTGTTGGTGTCCAGCACAGAATTCATCTAGTCTTTGGTGAGGGGCAGGACTGGGGTACCAGTTCCATCCTGCAGCTGCACATCTTCTCTTCGACCTGCAGCAAGAAACACAGACAGAGTTCAAAGTTAATATTCCAGTTTATCCTCTACAAGGGTTGAATTCATAAAGGTGTGATCATTTAAGCTTTGCGGTTTTAAACCTTCCATTTCCTCAAGATATCAAACCATCCACTTCACCCACTAGGTCAACCTCTGCAAGGTTGGGTTTTGTTTAGGCATAAGCTGAACCCTTAGCTCCAAGTCTGGATTGGTCCACAGTGACCAAGTGGATGTTAAGAGGTTAACGACACCTAGCATTCCTAAAACTTGGAGACTGAAAAAAAAGATCTTTTCCAAACCAAGAAAGTACAAACAAACTGAATTTGAGGCTTTTCCTGGGTGAACGCTTTGAGCATCGCAGAATGATCATCATCAACAGGAAGTAGTTATTATGTAACTATAACAGTTGCAGATGTCACTAGAAGCTACCAATCATATGGTTTCGACTGTACCTCATGAAATTTGCATGTAAAGTGTGACAGAAAGACGTTTTCCACCCCACTAACTGCACAGCTTCAGGCTGATGATCATGTTTGACCTCACGCTTCATCAGTTCTCACCCAATCCTGTATTTAGGTCACAGTGTCCTCAGACTGGTTCACTGCTAGAAACCAAACACCTCATGTTTTAGTCATCAGAGGCAGAGTCCAGCCCCACAGTGTGGGTTAGGAAGGTGAATGTGTGGAAACTGGATGAGAACGAGTGAATTTCAGACAATGTCAGGAAAAAACTCAGAGCGGGAAATTCTCTGATAACGCTCACACTTCTTCTTTCTTTTTAAAAAAATATATTTAAACTTTATTTTAGAAGCATTTCCTTGAGATTAAAATGCATTTTTCAAAGAACGCCGGGCCCACAAAAAGGAGACCCGGCAGAGAGCAACACAACAGGAGGTTTTATCTAGCACGAACCTCAGGGACAGAAAAATGAAAACAACACTGTCAAAACAACAGCTCCTCCCCTCCAGGGTGCACCAGGCCGACTCCGAGGGAGACCGTCGCCAAACGCTCATGGTTTCAGTCCTTCAGGAGGTTCTGGGGGAACCTTGGAGGGGTTCTAGGTTCTGGCTCACAATTTGGTTACAGAAGCACCAAATGTGGATTCGACCACAACAGCTTTGCATGATTTGAGGTTCTGTATATCATACGTTGCCATAATTCAGCTCCTCAGATAATCCCCTGTCTGAAGTAGGCCGTTTAACCCCCACCCCCCGTTTCAACAGCACATGGGCGGGGCTTCTGAAATTACCATATAGGGGGTATCCCCTCTGTACGATGTCATAAAGATCTAGAAGAAGAAAAACGCTGTGATAAACTGTTTATAGCAGTCACAGGATTACTGCTCATGCAATTCAATTCAATTCAATTTTATTTATATAGCGCCAAATCACAACAAAAGTCACCTCAAGGCGCTTCATAGATACAGAGAAAAACCCAACAATCATATGACCCCCTATGAGCAGCACTTTGGCGACAGTGGGAAGGAAAAACTCCCTTTTAACAGGAAGAAACCTCCAGCAGAACCAGGCTCAGGGAGGGGCGGGGCCATCTGCTGTGATTGGTTGGGGTGAGAGAAGCACAGAGCTCATCATAGAAGGAAGGAGCGTTTGAATGTTTGGAGCGAAAAACTCAGTCTTAAAGTTTACATGTACTTGTTTGGTCGGTCGGTGAGGATGATGTGCGGCACGTCACTGCGACTAAACAGGAGCTGAGGGGTGGGGAGGCTCTGCGTGGCCTCAGGGAGATCTTGGGAGTGAAACCTTCGAAGGGGTGAGGAAGGTGTTTGCTGCGCAGTGTGGCTCATTATCAGCTGAGAAAGACAAGCTGCTGCCCTTCTCAGTTCTCTGGTATCTACATGTGCTCTCTTGCCCTTGGCCGTCCTCCAACGGGGCGGCAGGAGCGCGTGGGCGAGCAGGCTGCGACTGACACGTGAGTTCAGCTCGTCTGTTAAAGGGAGGAGCAGAAGCAGCTTGACGGGTGTTCAGGTGAGGAGTCGGCAGCCACACCGTGGCCTCTGTGACCGCTCCTCCTGAGCGTGTCCGGAGGAACGTCTGCACAGACCGGCGTGTTTAACACAGCCCGCTCCTTCCATCACGCTCCATTTAACCACCTCACTGAGGCCGCTCGTGCTTCTATTCTCGGCTTTTTACAGCTCCTATCTGTGTCGTCGCCGCTCGCCTGTTCCACATTTTATAGTAAATCTGAGCTTCTGTGCTGCTCGCTGATGTAGGTCAGCAGTTTAGAGCACGAGGAGAGGTCACATGAAAACACAAGAGGCTGCAGGAAACAGTGGCGTACAGGAGACGTTTGAGATGCTGATCAGGCGTGACACGTGCTGAGCCGAGGGTCGAAAGGTCATTTCGGTCCCTTTCAGTGTCGTCGGCGTTCACCTGCAAGCGTCTTCCATCCAGGACAGCCGCAGCTCTGTCATCAGTAATTATGAAGCAGCCACAGGAAAGCGTCAAGGAGTTTATCACAGAGTGTGCAACCCAGCGGGCTCACACGCGTGTGCGTGTTTGTCCTGCAATCGTGCGCCTTGCTGGCACATGTGGTGGTGTGAAACGGCTTAAAAACCAGTTTTGCTGGTTTCTGTCAGAGGAAATGACACACACACAAAGTGTTGCTGCTCTGATCTCCTGATCTCGAGTAGATCCAGAACAAAGAACCTGAACTTTGTTATTCTGCTGAGTGAACTTTAGAGCGTGCGCCACGGCGGCGTGCACGAGCAGCACGGTGGATGTGGAGCAGATGTTGGTGCTGAGATGCGAGTCAGTGCGCGTCTCCTCTCAGAAACAACAAGGCGACCTGTCGGCTCGTTTCTAGCTCCTACCGCAGCAGCTTAGCATGATTCATGGTTCAAAATAATCCTTCTTTGTCTTAACTCGGCGCTTCCTCGCCTCTCCTGGCTGCCCCTCACCAACCGGAAGTCTGAGAGCAGAGATTTATAAAAGCGGTGGCCTGCTACTTAAATCAGGCTGAACAGAAGCGTCCACGGTCAGAATTACCATGGCGTTCACTCAGAGGTCTGGTGGGAGGAGCCATCAGTGGAGCTGAGTGTTTTTAAGCCTCCTTTTAAAATGAGAACTTTAATCACATCTATACCTGCAGTTTTCATGTCCTGCAGACCTCTGACATGAATCTGTGGAAATTCCACAATGGCTACCAACTCAGTGGGTGACTCCTTTGGTCCCGAGATGACCATACAAGATACCCACTCTGTATGACATCATATAAACCCAGGAGTAGAAAAAAACTGAGCGTTCCGATCATTATTAAAACACATTCACCACGAACAGGAAAACAGGACAAACTCATCAAATCCACATCAAACTGTAGAGCAGGAAGACATTGCTCTGTGATGAACGGAGAGCAGGAATGAGGAGAGCGACTCCGCGGCGTGATCAGCGGCATTTACAGCTATCAGAGGGTAAAACCTGCATCTGAGGCTGACGGGGTCCAGCAGTGCTTTAATCAGATGTCAGTGCTGCCCTCCTCGGGTTATGTCATACTCAGGTCCCGTGTTTCTGCACCGACGTGTTCACGTCCACAGAGAAGCGACGGCGCTGTAACGATCAACACATTAATAACAATCTGATCGGCGGTTCGTCCTTATTGCGACGGCGTTTCTGGTAACAAACTGCTACTCTCGTCTTCACAACGAGCATCAGCTCCAAATAATCCTGACACCTGAGTGATGTAACCTGCTACAGGACGCCGTGTCAGGTTTTGCTTCGGAGCGCGATCAAAGGGCGCTTTGTCTTTCCTGCAGAGGAACATCAGAGAGCTGCTTAAGCGCCCCCCAAACCGCTCTAAGCAGCTCTCTGCCTTTATTGAATCTGACTCCTCTGCTGCTCACGCATCAGTCCTCATCACCGTCACGTCCACTTTCATCACCTCCACCTCCTCTAACGTCCACCTGAAGAAATCACAGTTCTTCCAGAACTGCAGCCAATCCGATTTTCTTTTCCTTGCAGCAGTGAGTCCGTCCCCACAGACCTTCACAGCAGACATAAACATGTTTACAGCCTGATCCACAGACTGTGTGTGGGTCATTTCCTCCTTCATAACAGCTGTACGAGGGGAAGATGTTTTCATAGCTCACCTGGATTAAAGTCTGTGTTGTTAGGGGCGTGGCCTCTTTGACTGACAGGTGGACGGCACCACAGGTGGCCATAGCTCTCAGCCGTCTATTAGGCTTCACCTCAGCTAATTTTTATCTTATCCAGCCAATAACGTGGCTGCTGTGAGGCAGATGTACTAACAGACTTTCTGAGGAGGCGGAGCTTCAGGTTTGTGGTCACAGTGAGAGGAGCCCACTGTTCTCCGACTCACTGACCTGGACACACATGTGCTTCAGAGGACATAAACACTGAAGTTCAAAGGACGCATGGAAGGAGGCGCTCACGCTGACGGCGTCACTGAGAAGGTCTGTGTGAGCTGCAGCTCTGCAAACTGTTGCTGTCTCTGTGAAGTCATTTTCCAGACGCCTGGCTCGCATTTAGCAGCTGGAAAGTTTTATATCTGCAGCCAATTAAAAGCAGAACGTGACTTTAATTCCTGCAGCTGCCCCGAGCGCCCGACACGTCGCCGGCTCTCAGCTGGAACGACTTGAAGCACGAGCGCGTGCGAGTCCTTCCTCACTGACTGCGATCCTCACCCTGAGCTCTCCGGTCAAAGGTCAGAGGAGGTAAAAGAGGCTCCGAGCGTTGCTTCCTGCTGTCGTTGACAAAAGTCTGGCTGCAGAGGAAACACAAAGCAGCAGCAGCTCCTGAACTCTGACCTCAGTTTACAGCCGCTCTTGCACTGACGCTGCCGATCCTCGCTCACAGAGATAACCGAGAGGAAAGGACGAGGGTCAGGGGTCAACTTTGTTCTGCTTCTCTAACTGCAGCCATGTGTTAAACTGCTGCTGTGCACCGATCAATAATTATTGATAAGGATTTGTCTGTTTCACCTGCTCGTGGTCCAACTTTGACTTCCTGATTCCATATATTTGAATAATTACTGCTGTTAGTTTCACTTTGCCTTCAAACCGTTTTGGTGATTTTATTATCGCCCCCTCGCTTTTATCTAACGGCCACTCAAAGGGGCCCCAACCACACTTTTAGCAGCCAAGCAATAGTTTCTAAACCAGACGACTGGAAACGACTTTGTTTCCTAGGCCTGTTAAAATGTGCCACACAGAGCTGTGCAAAAGTCTTGAGCCACCCCTCAGGTCTGCTGAGCAGCTCTCGAGCTTCCTGAAGCTCCTTAAAGTTCTTCTGTAAAGGTGTAAAAAAGGTGTAAAGTGTGCGTGTTAGTCCCCGTAGGGAAATAGTTCCTCTGCATTTAACCCATTCACCCAGTGAAGCAGTGGGCAGCCACCAATGCAGCGCCCGGGGAGCAGTGTGTAGGGACGGTACCTTGCTCAGGGGTACCTCAGGGTAGCCGTTCAGTGGAGTCGAACCCGACCTTCCGATCATGGGGCCACCACTCTACCTACTGAGCTATCCCTGTCCTGTTCTGTGGACATTGGCTGCTTTTCCTCTCCTGTTCAGTCCTTGTACCGGACCTTTCTCACAGGAATGACAGTGAATCCCACACACCTGAGCAGAGGTGCAGTTAGTTAGCATCAGCCTGTCACACAAACTCATCATCTGTTCCAGTTTCTTTACCAAATCTGTCAAAAATGCCAACGATATCACAGCTTCTCATGAAAACAGGATTTTGTCTCCAACACGGTGATTCCAAAGAGCTGTCAGCTGAAACTCTGCACATCTCAGCGTGGTGTCAGTGTGTCCTCAAAACCCCGAGGAAAGTGGACAGAAGAGGAAGTGGGAGGCCATAAAAACTCGACAGCAGCTGAACAGGACCCGAGAGATGATCTGGACCTTCAGCCGATCGAGAAGCCGTTCTTAATGAAGGCAACCTGGAGTCTGCAGCCATCTGTGAAGCTGGGTGGAGGCTCTGTCATGGTTTCAGCTGCAGCTCAGTCAGAGCTGTTGGAGATCTTTGATAAACTGATGAATCACAGAGTCTGATCCACCACGCAGGAACATCTGGGAACATCTGACTGACAGCAGCTTCCTGTTCCAGCATGACAACGATGCAAACACACTGTCAGTGCAGAGAAAGCACACCTGGATCTGATAACACACAGCAGGACACCATCAGTCGCAGACGGGCCTCAGCTGAGGAGACGTCTTCCTGAGGATCCTCACAGAGCTGACAGCTGCTCACACTGAAGCTTGTTTGTGTCTGCATTGTGCAGTTCATGTCTGTTTGCAGCTTAATAAATCTCTTGCACATTATTATATGTTAAAGTTCACAGAAGTTCATTCTTTGTGAACTCTGTCTGAAGCCACCAGGCTTTGAGCTGCTGTTCTTCCTTCCTGTTAAAACCAAAGTCTCACGATTACACGAACTAATCGACCAACCGAGGAAGCTTCTGTCCGCTGGGAGGTAAAGTCTCCTGATAACTGCAGCTCCTTGAAATATGACCTTTAAAATGATTTTTTGGACTCTACATGGATGAGAGCGTTCAATAATCGTGTCTTACATGCTGCTGTGGTACAAACTGCCCTTGTTTGTGGAGCGTTCAGACACCCTGAGCTCTCCTCCCAGAGGTAACCACGAAGTACTTTTACTTGTTTCAGAGTATTTTTACTGCAGTGAAAGGTCAGATTACTTCATACCTGAGATATAAAGAGTGTGAGATACCTGACATGCTGTCAGAGTGTGTGTGTGTGTGTGTGTGTGTGTGTGTGTGTGTGTGTGTGTGTGTGTGTGTGTGTGTGTGATAAGCACTCTTAGTCCTTCTTTTCCTGGACTCTGCTAATAGGATTCCCTCCTCCTCCTCCCACCACACACAGCTCAATCCACCACATAAAACCACACGTACACACACACGCCTGCCGCTGTAACCTTACCTGTGTGTCCTCGCTGCGGCAGTTGCCGTGGTAACCCGCCTCTCTGCGTGCTACAGCTGGTTTTATCCTCCTTCGGCCTCCTCTTCCTCTCTGAACACTTGTTGTCTGCAGCAGCGCCGGCTCATCGTGGATTTACAGACTGCGCTCAGCTCCTCCTCTTCCTCGTCTTCCTCCACCTCTACTTCCCATCTCCTGTAATCAGCTGACGCCCCGCCTACCCCTCCTCCTTCCAGACAGTCTGCCAGCCAATCGGGCGCTCCGCCGTCTGCAGACCCGGCTCCTTCACAGCCAATGACGGGCAGCTGTGACAGATGGCAGCTTAGGAAAGGTGGGGGGAGCGCGGGGTGTCCAGTATCAGGATAATGTGCAGAATTACAGGCTGATTAAACTGTGATGTCACGCGTCACTGCAGCGGGACCGGCCCACAGCCTGTGACCTCATCACTCTTCGCGTTACATCAGCGTACACCTGCAGGGGAAAACTGCAGCTGCTCCACAGGGGGCGCTCTTCTGACAGCCCAGTGACCGCGTGACGTGCTCTCAGCACATACACACATCAAGCTGGTACGTTTATACATTCGTGGCCTGTTTGAGTCTTTCACTCCTGCCGACCCCCTCCAGAGACGAGGCGAGGACGTTACTCGCGGAGACAGCTGGGAAACAAAGGAGCAACAAGCAGAAGGTTACAGATTCACTCAATACGCAGCTGCAAAATAATCTGAGCCAAGCTGCAGGGGTCCTCTTACCTGTGTCGCAGCTGCTGGGAGTGCTGGTCGGCTCCACTCTGGATCCAGGTCCAGGATGAAGAATATCCCAAACTCACAAAAATATACACTTGTTTTTTCCTGTTATCATTCATCATTTTTAATCTCCTGTTTCCTGAAACCTTGTTGAGGTGCCGACGTCTTTTGTAACAGCTGAAATTATAGGTTCAATTATAAGTTAAACATGAGTTTTTGCAGCATTAGTTACTTTTGCGTGACACACTACAGTGATCCTGTTGTCTGATATCAGCGAGTTCGGTGTGTGTTGAGTGCTCGTTCTTGTAGACCTGAGCATCGTCTCTGCCTCCGCTTAGACCGACAGCAGTGTAATCGTTTTCTCCTGTAAAGCACAGCGTCCTCCAAGAGCTCACTTTCAGAGGAACTTGTTTATTATCGCTCCGCATTCTTAAAACAAAGGTGCAGGATGGTTTCTGGCTGGGTGGTCTTGCCTCGCTCTGCGGTGTTTTGCAGCTCAATGCGAAGCAGCTGTAATGAGAATGAGAACCTCCGAGTCCTCAGCTGCCTATTTGGGAGCATCTCTGGGTTCTGCTCGTGGGTGAGGGAACAGCTGAGCAGACAGACTCGTACAGCCATGACCTGAGAGTGAAGCCGAAGCTGTCCGGCTACTCGTCGAACCACGTTCCTACCCTGATCTATGACCACGGGCTTAGGGTGGTGACAGAAGGACGGGTGCAAGTGTCAGAAATGAGCTTCTTCTGAGGGGTGGAGCCAGGATGTGCAGCTCAGTCCTCCACGTCTGAAGGACCCAGCTGAGGTGCTTCACCTGACCAGGCTGCCACGTGGAGGCCGTCTGTGCTTAGACTACTGCTGACCAGGATACACAGGATATTCGCTGCTATGCTGACGACACGCTGCTGTACCTTTAAGCCCCGTCATCGTCCCGTGGACTCATTAGTGCCTCGTCAGCTGTCAGGTCCCACACCTCCTGCACTCCAAACGTTCTCTCGTTTCAATAAATTCACTCTCGTGAAAATAAAAATCCAACCTTAGGTCAGTGATTCTCACTGTGAGCTCCTACTGCCTGTGGGCCACAACAAGTCACTTACAACATTATTATTTCCTCATAAGTCTTTAAACAACTATCAGTAGAAATGTAACATTTTAAAAGTTGTAGGTTTTTACATAACTTCATCTTTCAGAATAAAGTCATACTGAAGATGCACTTCTGGTTTTTACAGGTAAAATGAAATGTTTGGATACAAGAATCGCTTCTAAAATTAATTCAGTTTATCTGTTGAAGGGGAAGAAGCTGGATGAGGCTGGAGATGTTCGGGCTGAGGTCTTTTCTCTGCTCCACTCTGCTTAAAGGCTTTCTAACTCTCCGTGTAATAATAATAATAATAATAATAATAATAATAATCACAGAGCTGTTCCATCCTGATATCAGTGATCGTGATGAGGCCTGCTGTGTGCTGGATTACTTTAAAAAGCGTTAAACTAATAATTTCACGTTGAAGTGAAGACGTGAAACGTGCGATAGAGTTCCTGCTTTTATTTGTGAGATGAAATGAGAAGCATCAAAGAGAAACTGAAAATAACTCGTGCAGTTTGTAGGGATGAAACGCAGCAACGACAAAAAGCACGCAACAACTTCAGAAATGACCTCATCGTGTTCGAGTCTTCCACTTTCACGAACACTGTTTGGGTTTGTTAGCAGCTTCAAGGCGAGCACTGACAGCCTGAACACTGTTCGCCTGTCCACATCCACACGGATAAACACGGGGACCCGCTGCAGTTTCTCTTTAAATGACCTCAAATCTGATCCACACAACTTAAACATGCTCGCTGGGACTTTATTTGACAGCAAGAAGCCTTTTCAAGAACAAAGGGTCGGTTTTTGCTGCTTTTTTAGAGCTCTGGTTCCGGCTGTTGTCGGCAGCAGCCCAAACTCCTTTCAGAAATGTGTGTTTTTACCACTCCCCCAGTAAAATCCACACTTCACATCCCTGCGTGTCATACTAAACCTTTCATTTACATCACAGGCAGACATTTTCATGTCCGGCATGCACTTCATCGACTCAGCAGCCCTGAATGATCTGAAATGTCGACTTTTCCAAGAGCCTGGCATCGCTGTTGGCACCGCTCGGCAGGGTGGACCATCCTTGTGAAGAGGCGCGGGGAGGGTTGTAAAAGTAGAAATGTGACTGATGGCAAACTGTTTGTGGGGTCAAACGTACCCCGGAATAATGGGCAGGTGCTGCTGCCCCGGGGGCAGACCCCCAGCTTTGTTCTCCCGCTTGTTAAATTTCATTCATGAGGGAATCATCTCAAAATGTCATGTTTTTCAAAGGAGATTCGCACGCAGTCCACTTACCTCCGGGATACGATGGGATGCAGCGGGGTCTGCAGCTTTCAGAGACCCCTGCAGCAGCTCGGCGGCACCGCGGCGGACTCCAGGTCACCCGCTCGCTCCATTTCACGGTAACGCTGTCTGTAACGACAGATGTAACGGCGAAGTGCGGGAGTAGTAACTGTAACGGCTAGCTAAGTGAACTAGGTTCCATGGCGGAAGCAGTGAAAGTCCAGCCGGAGGTGAAGAGTCCGCTCGGCTCCTTGTTCTCGCGCTTCCGCTGCTCTTTGCTCGCTTTTTCAGGCGCTTGCTTGACATTAGTTTACGTTCTCCACGGTGACTCCAACTTCCGCATCTTTGGTGACGTAACGCGTCGTTGAGCTACGTCAGACAGGCCCGAGCGGAAGACACGCCTACAACCGATTACGCGTACGCTTAACTTTCAAACTAAAAGCTCGAATAAACTGTGTTTATCCTGCTGCTTTTAGACTTGTGGATGTTTTATTCTTTATTCTGTTTAATATGAATCCTAAAATTATTTGTCAGACGTTTGTCTCATGTAGAAACAAGTTTTTATATACACCTATCTTTCACCTCTAAAATTACTTCTTTTAATAATAAAAATGTTTCCTAAAAAAACCTGGGACAGGTAGACCTTTGTATGTTAGCATATTCATAACGGAAACCTAGTGTCCTGGGATCCACTGGGATAACGTTGCTGAACCTGTTTCCACGTCACACAGCGCTGCTCAGGTGTCCCAGCAGTGCCTCTATTTCACTTTTTTTATTTTCTCCAGATATGACGTAATGATCTGGTACAGCATATATACACATGTATATATATATATA